GCAGGAGGTCGTGGGTTCAAGTCCCACCCGAGTAAGCTTGTGAGGTTTTTTTTTTTCGCTAGCTCTCGGACAAGCACTGAGCATACAGTGCTTATTAATATATGTTGGGTAAGGGGCAAACCCGTTATGTATAACTCTGTATTTTTGATTCCGTCCCTTAGTTTGTTGGGGTATAGTATTCTTCAAATTACTTACTGAGGATGTCATGTAATCATCGAGCACCCTCTAGCGACAGGTTAAAAATTCTGAAAAATTAATTTTGAATAAATGTCTGTGGCAAAGGTTGTCACAATCGCCTGAAAATTGACACGTATGATGATCTGCACCCAGTCAACACGTGTGAAATTTGGGGCCGATAACATCATCAGATCAGAAGTTACGATTAAAAGTTCCTTTAATCTTCCAAATTCGGTAAAAAATCAACCATAATAGATTTAAGCGTGAATTGTTCATTAGACAATAGCTAAAACATTGAAGTCAGCTGCATGGTGTGCATAAATGGTGTACTTCTTCACACAGGTGACATGCCGACGACGAACACCCCTTACAATATTTGCGAACTCGAAAATCCCATTCGCATACTGTGCATTGGCCGATGTGTGTGCGGACACGCAATATCTGCCTGTATCATGTGGCAGGCAAAGCACAGTGTGTAGGGCGTTGTACTCAGGACCTGCCAAAATAACGAGCACGTGGTTCTGAGAGCAGATCGCATTGTATGGAAGGCCAAAAGGGACTAATGTTTAAAATCTCTAATCTGTATCTTTTCCGCTATAACAATAATGGTTTGTATTGTATTTTATATTGGACATGCCTGATAGGGTTGGTACATTTACCTTGCAGATAGTAAGGAAGGGAAGGTTTATAAACAGAGATTGACCTCAGGCGATGACAACATCATCAGCAAACGAGTCACGTGACATTAAAGGTGCACTGTTCAAAGCCCTATATCTCCTGGAGTACACATCCCATTGATTTGAAACTTTGCAGATATCAAGGAAAGGAAGAAAATTTACTTGATGTGATGATAAGATCAAATGTGGAGTCAAATTACATTTATTTAAAACAAGTTATTTCCTGTAGTGTATGCCTGATTGGGTTGAAACCTTGGACCCAAATGGTCATGATGAAATAATGACGCCATCAAGTTTGTGCAGTAGATTGGTTGTTCAAATTGACAAAGGAATGCAAAAAACCCTCTGTTCTGTTGGCCAACAGCAGGCCTCGATCTTTACTGCGGCCACCACGGCCATTGGCCACGTGTCCTTCTCCCTTTGCAGCCAGCTGTATGTGGAATGAGAGTGTACCATGTAAGCCAGTGCATATGCAGTGCGATTTCGAATTGGGGAAGGTCAACCTTTTGGGCTGTGTTCAAGTGAACTACTAATGCTAAGCTGAGTACTATCCTGAGCGCACGAACGGCAGGATTACCGTCCTCGGGTCAGCAAGAGTATACTCCCCTTCACAGAGAATTAGGAGTATACGCCTGACCCGAGTGTAATGCGTGCGCATCCACACTTGGGTTATCGGAAGTAACCATGCGAACGCAGCTTTGGATATCATTATCAGCGCTGCACCTGTGAGCAGCGTATTTTGAATGCAAAGTTGCACAGCTACATGTACATGTAAGTCGGAAACCAGGCAAGCGCTTATTGTGTTAAAAATAAGTTTTGACCATTCGCTAGGTGTAGGCCTATATCTCAAAACCTGCCGTCGCAATCGTATGATCGTATAAAAAAATGTTAAAAGGATGCTTTCTTACGGGAGGGCTCAAAGTGCCAGAAGCTTGAAAACCTGTTTTCTAGAAAAAAGTAGGGATAAAGTATTTATAAACTCGTAAACTCTGGCAAAGTCGGCACTGAGTCTTGAATCGAAAAAAAAAAAATGACTTCGAAATGCTGACATGTGTTGCTTGCCGACTTACGTGGCGTGCTGCCTTAATACCATCCATATAATTCATTGCACCAGTTTAATTGCTTTGATTTGCCCTGGTTTATTTCTATCTCCGTTGTCGATTCAGGTAAGTTTGTCCTTGATTTTGATCATCGCTCCGTCTGTACTGAGGACGACCCGTGCATGCCATTTGTACAGACATAATGCTAGCACACACAGCGCACGTCATGAACCGGCGCATGTGCATGCGGGTTCTTCGGGGGCCGGTTGCAAGTAAAACTTTGTTCAATTGGGCGACCCCCAAAAAGGGACAGCGCATGCGCGTGCACTAGAGGAGGTACTGGTATTGATGCAAATATTGGGGAAACCCCTTTGTGGTCGTGCTCGCACATGCGCAATGTATATGTACATGTACTTGTAGGCATACTCTACGTCCTTATCAACAACGAAGCTCCGGAAATCGTTTGTTTATTTGCAGCCCACTTTATACCGAGGATTTTTTTGGTTTTGTGGAAAAGGAAATGAGAGCCGACTTGGACGAAAAGGACGGCTTATAAAAGCCCGCTGAAAAATTATCAATTGGAAATGCATCAACACACAATCAGTACTTTTATCAGAAGGCCGACTTAGAAGTTGCACGGTGCCGACTTGACCGGAGTTTACAGTAAACATTTAAAAAGGATCCCCATTTCATTTAAACAAAAGGATAAACACTATTATATTTTAAACTTAGTTTAAGGGGGTTAGGAATCCTTGAATTTTAATGGAAAAGGGATACAAAATTTAAGCAAGCATTAAATTCAGGGGCTGGATTCAGAAGGAAAAAATCGTCTGGGTAATTGTAATTAATTAAAAATGAACATTACAATTTCATACTGGGAATACGACAAATAATAGCAGCATGATAAATGCCATTTATTGAAGAGGGGATGGCATGGTGTACAAGAACTGAATAGCTTATAGGCCTACTCATGACATGACTGGTTGTCGAAAATGTAAATCAAAGGTTTCAAAATAATTGGCCTTGGTGCCCCCTTGAGCTGGCCTGGTGCCCTGTTGAAATTTGATGAAGGTAAGGCCAAAGTGGCCTGCCCCTTTTTCCCTCAAGATCGAGGCCTGCATGAGACAGATAAGCTCTATTTTTTTCTTCTTCCTTCTTCTTCCTCTTCTGACAAAAAGCCCATTTGTGTTGTGCACATTTGTTCTACATCTTCATCAATATAATTTGCCTCATTGCGTATTAATATGTTCTTTTTGCCGGCTTGCTAATTTTCATTGTAATTAATTGTGCTTGGCTGTGCTAATGTAAATAATTTGATTTTATGCTTTTGACTGTTCAAATTCACGGTGTTCTTGCATGAGAAGTTTGTGTTGCAGCAAACCACTAAATTTAATTTGTTTTAATTTACTGCTTTGCTGATTTCAGTTTATGATTAAATGTTATTCCAAATTAGTTCCTTTATTGTTCTTTGCTCGTATCTTTAGTGTCCTGGTTCTGGTCTTTTGATTTTTCTTCTGCCGTGCGTTCTCCGCTCGTAACATGGGGTCATCAGGAGACAATTCATGTGACATTAAAGGTGCACTCTTTAAGGCCCTGTATCTCCTGAAGTAGATGTCCGATCAAGTTCAAATCTTGCAGACGTCTTGAAAAGGGAATGCTCTAGGGGAATATTGACCTCGTGAGATGAAGACTTCATCAGCAAATAAGTCATGTGACATTAAATGTGCACTCTTCAAAGTACTTTATCTCGTGAAGTACATTAAAGGTGCAATCCTACATGTACAAGTACTGTATCTCGTGAAGTACACATGCAATTGGGTTCAAGCATTGCAGATATTTTAGAAGGGAGTGCTTTAATGCTTTGATGTAATGATGACATTACCAGGTGACAAGTCATGTGACATTAAAGGTGTACTCTTTAAAGTCATATATCTCCCGAAGTAGATGTCCAATTGGGTTCAAACCTTGTATATATCTTGAAAGAGGAGGGCTTTAGACGAATGTTGCTTGCACGTGAGGATGACATCAAGTGACATCAAGTGATTAAAGGTGCAGTTTTCAAAGCACATTATCTCCTGAAGGGCGCGTCATTTTTGTTAAAACCTGTATATGCAAGGGTTCTTTTCAAAAAAACCTCTGCGGATTTACGCGAAAAGCTGTCCGTTGCTAAGGGCTGAGCAGTTTGGGTACTCCGCGGCCGTATTCGTCCGTGTGAGGTCAAGTTAATAAGGCTAACGGGGCCGACCCTCTATTGTCATTATAATGCTTTACTAAATAATGAGTTGCAGGCCGTATTACAATAACGCAAAGCCCGTGAACATGCTGCATCGAGGTAATTCCCTGCAGAATAAATGAAAATGACTCTTGAGCGCATTTGACATGCAGTGTTTGCTACAACGGTGTAAAAATATACCACTAAAATAGTTGGGAACAGCCTCAAGCTGCAAAAAATGAAAAAAAAAAAAAGGTCCTCAACAGGTCGTTTTGAAATTTCGACAGGTTTATTCTGTGTGTTTTGTTTGTACGTTCCTAGAATTTCATTGCTAAATTCAAAGTGGTTTTGGTTTTATGGTAAAAATTACGCATCTTTCGTGTTCGTGGTCAGGACACGCCAGCATCATTCTCCACGGCTCTTCATACGAACTTGTTTTTGGGACAATTTTCAGAAAATGATCCGGGCATTCTGATTGGTTTAACTGTCTTTGTGGCATTTTCCGAATAGATCCAAAGGTTCCCTTCACCAGTGTTCCATGACGATCTGTTCACAGACGGCAAAGTTACATTTTGAAAAGTACAACGTTTTTTGAGACTAAAATGCCCATTCTTTGTCAGAGAACAAGGTACATGCAAATCTTTGATCTTTCATCGTTATTTTCATTTGGGTTGCAAAGTTTTATGATGTGAAATAACCCATGGAAAGCGAAATGAAAAGGGCAGGTTTGGGTGATTCGCCGAGTGTGACCTTGCATATGGCACATGCACAGAGATGTCTCATGGCATACCAGTGACTAAAACTCACCGGCTGGAAATAAATCAGACATGGAAACTCGTGTCCAGATTAATGCTGGATTGTGTCTTAATTTAGTGGTATATTTGCTTAAAAGACCCTTAAAGAAATATTTATGCAATTCATTGCAACCTTTAAAATCAACAGAAATGAGTCGGGTGTTTATTATGTAATTGACAAGTCTCATTTGGAGTTTTTAAATTATGTATTTCTGAAAATTGTTCATTTCTGTTGTCTATTAAAACCTTCAGAGATTGATTTTTTTTCTTTTTATAAAACAGCTTTTATAACTTTTTGTGGACAGTAAACATGTCAATTGGAGCTTTTATCGGGGACCAATTATTTTGTATGAAAACCTTCACGATGCAATGAACACTTAAAGTAATTATTGCTGCCAAGTTCAAGACGAAAGCAACTCTCACAAATGTACATATACAATAATTTTGGATTCTAAAAAGGGAATTACCATTGGTGGCATGGGTACCGTATTAAAAAAAAATGCAAACCACTAAAGGCCATACGTTCACTTTGCCAAGCCTTTTTTGCCCTGTACCTTACACGAAGTTTTCAAATTTTAAACGCTATCAGGAAAACCACTGAACTGACACTCCTGTTATCTTTTTTTGGCAGTGTAATCATTTTCCAAACTGGAGCCTAATCAAACGAGGCCTTAATGGCACTAGTAATTACGCAGAACCTAATTTTGTGCCATGCACATTTTGTTTGGCCTTTTTTGTGGATATACTGTATTAAGATCGGCAGCATAGCCATCAACAGCTAGGCCATGGCTCATTGCCAAGACAGGACAGTGGGAACAAGGCGCCGGCGGCTTGCCAGTTTGCGTAGACTAATGACACTTACCCAAGGGACTGGGCTGGAGGGGTTCATTTTTATTATTGGGCAACTGTTGTCAGGAACGTGCGCCAAGCGTGATCAAATGGCTGCTCAAAGGGGCAGGGTTTCAGAGGTTGCCTGGCAACAGTATTGTCAAGGTAATTGTCAGCAATGTGTTTAGGGCCTTTAATGCATACCAACAACCCCGAGTTATCTAAAAAAAACACACCTCGCGTAGTCTTTAGTTCACTGACTCAGCGGACCTGGAAAATAAGCATAACAAAGCCCATTGTTAGATGATGCAAATAAGCTTGCGGGGCTCGCTGACGATCGGTTGGCAAGGGCCAAATTTTGTCCGTGTTCTACGCAGAGTTCGCAGATGGTCAATTTTGACAAGAACCCTACAAATATTTTATGGAAATTTTTCATATTTTAATGTTTCTTTAGAACTTTCATATTTTAATGTTTCTTTAGAACAACAAAATGGCGAAAAAGCCCTGTTATCTGTCCTTCTGACAGACACACAACCTCTAGTTTTTGGCTTTTTCGCAATTTTGCAAAAAAGGCATTCTTTTTGGTTTTTTTTTGTTTTTTTGTTTCTGTGTTTCTTTTTTTTTTTCTTCCATTTTGTTCTTCTGACCCAAAACCCTTTTGTTTTGTGCATGTGTTTTGTTGCCACCTTTTTAGTGGTTTTGCCACTTTGGATCTTCATCAAACTTATACCAATGAAGAACCCTTATGCATAGATGGTCCTAGAAACATGACGTCATGATGACGTCATCGACTGATTTATTATTGATATTTCAATATTTATTTCAGCCCATTGACTTTGTACACGTTTTCGAGGCACCATTTTGGTACCTTAGTAATCGTTGATCTTCTTCAAAGTTACGGCAAGCACTAACTGTAAAATGAAGATAATACTTAAACATTGACGTCATGATGATGTCATCACATGATTTATTATTAAATTTTGAATATTTGAATATGCCGTTAAATTTATAAAAATCCATATGAAATCAACCGTGGCCTCCCGCAACATTCTGTTTGCAGCAAGTGGCAGGATAAAATGTGGTTGTGAATTCATCTCCTGTGGGTCAAATCACGTGAGCCTTCCTTTTGGTCGAAACCGGAAGTGGTCTTATTGTTTAAAAGTGGTAATACATGTAGGTATCAAGTTGTTTTCATTGGTGTTAGTCTGTTGGGATATAGTATTCTTCAAATCATCTACTGATGATTTTAACCTAGTGACAGGTTAAAAATTCCGAAAAAATGCATTGTCTATGGCAAAGCTTTTCCAAATCGCCTGAAAGGTAATGTAGATGATCATCTTTACCCAGTCAACACATGTCAGGCCGGAAGTTGCAATAAAAACTTCTTTTATTCTTCAAAATTCGGTAACAAATCAACCGTACGAGATATTAGTGTAAATTGTGCATGAGAAGACAGCTAAAACATTGGAGTCAGCTGCATGAAGTGCATAACTAGTGTACTTTTTCACACACATGAAGCGCCGTCGACAAAACCCCCTTACAATATAAATTGCCAACTCCAAAATCCCATTAGCATGCTGTGCATATGCTACTGTGTGTGTGTGGATGCCCAATATCTGCCTGCAACATAGACGGCGTACAGTGTGTAGGGCATTATACTCGGGACTTGGGAAAATGCTGACCCGTGCTACTGAGAGCAGATCGCATTGTATGGAACGCCAAAGGGACAAATGTTTAAGATATCTTATCTGTGCCTTTTCCACGTTAAGTATAGTGTTTTGTATTGTATATTGTATTGTACATGTCTTATTGAGTTGAAACCTTGGAGGCAGTTAGGAAGGGAAGGTTTACACACGGAAATTGACCTCACTTGATGACAATGCCATCAGCAGATGAGTCACGTGACATTAAATGGTGCTTCATTTAAAGTACTATATCTCCTGAAGTGTATATTCAATTTGGTTCAAATCTTGCAGCTATCTTGAAAAGGGAGTGCTTTAGAGGTACATTGACCTTATGTGATAATGACGTTATCAGGAAACAAGTCATGTGACATTAAAGGTGCACTCTTTATAGCCCTATATCTGCTGAAGTACTTTTTCCATCAAGTTGAAACTTTGCAGATAACTTGAAAGAGAGGTGTTATGTACGAAACATGACTTGATGTGATGATGCCTTAGTTGATCAAATCTCTGTTCTGTTGGCAAACAGACAGATGACCTCGTTCATCTTTTTCTTCTGCTCAAAAACCCATTTGTTTTGTACACGTTTTTTGTCCCCGCAACTTTGGTGCTTTAGCAACTTTGGATCTTCATCAAACTTGTACCAATGAAGAACCCTTATGCATAGATAGTCCTAGAGCAACGACGTCATGATGACATCATCAAGTGATTTATTACTGATTTTTCAATAATTATTTCAGCCAATTGACTTTGTACATGTTTTTGAGGCACAATTTTGGATACTTGGGGATATTCAATCGTCATGAAAGTTACGGCTGGCAAAGACCCTGATGCAAAATTAATGCCAAATTTATGACGACATGATGATCTCATCACGTTATTTTGTATTGAATTTTGAATATTTAAGTTTCCCCATAGGTTTTTACATGTTTTTCAACAGCCAGACTTAGGGACTCTGATCAATCTACATGTAACTGATTTCATGTTTGTGCACACTTGTATTCTAAGGGTCAATTTTCATCAAAGTTGCCTCAAGCAAAGACCCGATGGGAAAGATGTGCTGCGAAGCATGACGTTGTGATGACGTCATCACCTGATTTTATTGAATTTTGAGTATTTATTTTTCCCTTAAGGTTTTGTACACGTTTCTCGCCAGCCGGATTTCAGCACTTTTATCGATGTGACTGATTACATGTTAGGTGCATACTCTTCATCCACCAGCTAGAGAGGGTCCGTCAAGAAAAATTGTGATCACGTGACAGGGCATTGAATGTGCAAACTTTGAAGCCCTTTATCTCCTGAAGTAAATATCCCATTGATATGAAACTTTGCAGATATCTAGAGGGGAATGTGTGTTACATGTAAATTGATGTCATGGGATGATGATGTTGGCAGTTCAGAAGTCATGTGACATTAAAGGTGTGACCTTTCAAGCCCTATATTTCCTAAAGAAAGTGAAAGTGATTGTACCAGTGGGTTGAATCTTTGCAGATATCTGAAAGCGGATATGTGGTAGACGAAAATTAACCTCATGGGATGATGATGTCATCAATTGACAAGTCACGTGACATAAAAAGTGCATCCTTTAAAGCCCTATATCTCCAAAAGTACATGTCCCAGCTAGATGAAACTTCGCAGATATTTAATCATGATGATGACATTTTCAATGAAAAGCGAAAAGCCCTATGTTCTGTTGCAAATAGACATGGAAGCTGTCATTTTTCTTCTTGTGCCCTCAAATCTCATTTCTTTTGTGCACAGTTTTTCTCCAGAGCACTTTAGTCCCTTTGCAAATGCAGCAGGGCACCTCCGTATAGATGGGGGAAATCATGGAATGTAATGGTCAGTGATGGTACTTTAGAACAATACAATGGTCAAGTACTTTGAGGAAAAAAGTAAATTAAAAAAAAGTATTTACATGTATGGAAGACCCATTTTTATGGGATTTATTCACTGGCCAATCATTATTGTTCAGACCAAGACAAAAATAAAAATAGCGAGGGAATAAAATCATTCCAAATAAAGTCTCTGTGGAGCTTTAATCCAACCAAAGATTGACAGCTGAACGACCATCAGGTATTACAGTTCCAGTAGACTTGGTTGAGTCTTCTGAAGGACAGCCCGCCTGGGCATTTTTTTATCGAAACTGTGGACCACATGTGGCTTTTGTTTTCCTAGTCAAAAATATTGATTCTTCCCTCTTTGGCATTTTTTATCCAAACGTAGACCTCGTGCGATTTTCAAGTTTTCCCAGCACCACAGCATTTTTATTCAGAGCACTAAACCAGCCAAAATACATACATTGTATATTAATTCTTTCCTCCTCTGGCCTTGTTTCCTGTCCAAACCAAGACCATGTGTGGTTTTTATTTTTTTCCTGTACCTATGCACATTTTTTCCCCTTATTCTGAGCACACAACCCGTCAAAATATATTTTTTCTTTCCTTCTGGACATTTTTTTATCCAAACCTTGACCATGAGGGTTTTTATTATCTTTTTTTTCTTGCACAACTGCACATTTTTTTATTCTGAGCACCCATCCCCCCAAAATATTAATTCTTCCCTCCTCAGCGGTTCTCTATTCAAACCAGGACATTTTAAGCAAGAATATATAAAATGGGGGAAGTCCGTACATCAAAGGGACAGCATGAGTGTTTATAAGAGAGAGGAAAAAAGTCTTATCGGACCAAACACTGTTGACACTTATTTAGCTAAGACACAAGAACAGCTTGTGTGCATGTTCTTCTCATCTTTGTTGTGACGCTGCTGTTCTCACATGCACAGGAACAGCTAATTAACGTAACAATACTCTATGAATCACTCATGCAAGAGAACGGGCAGGAACACGTTCCGAAGTGCCCATTGGAACGGGGGTGAAGGGGAGGGCATGCAGAATGGAAGGGAACGCATGAAAACGCGTGCGAATGGTCTCTATGTTTTTATCCTGTCCCTAAAAGTGGTAATACATGTAGGTACCAATTTATTTTCAATGGTGTTAGTCGGTGGAGGTATAGTATTCTTCAAATCATCTACTGATGACATAATGTTATTGTTGGACGCCCTCTAGCAACAAGTAAAAATTGTTTAAAAAGTTGTATAAAAGTGGTTATAGATATTGACTTGTTTTGAACAGTGTTAGTATCTTGGGGTATTGTACTCTTCAAAAAATCTACTGATGACGTCACGCAATTGTCAAGCACCTTCTACCGACAGGTTAAACATTATGAAAAATGAATTTTCAGTAGATGTCTGTGGTGAAGTTTGTCAGAATCGCCTGAAAATTGGTGTGGATGATGATCTTTACCCAGTTAAGACGTATAAAATTTGGGGCCGATGACGTCATCATACAGGAAATTATAAAAAAAGTCCTTTTATTCTTTACAATTTGGTAAAAAATCAACCGTTAAAGATTGCAGAGTGAATTGTCCATTAGATGATAGCTGAAACATTTAAGTCAACTGCATGAAGTGATTAACTGGTGTACTTCACAGAGATGAAGCGACAAAAACCCCTTACGATATTTCTGAACTCGAAAAGTCCATTCGCAAACTGTGCATGAACACGCAATATCTGCCTGTAACATACTTGTACGCAGCACACAATGCTCAGGGCATAATACTCAGGAGTTGGCAAAATGCCAAACACGTGGCTGGGAAAGCGTGTGAGCATGCATTGTCATACTCTTCTGTAGCAAGGAGGGTAATGGTCCCATAGAAAGTTTAACTGCGGACTTCACGGCAGCTGTTTGATTCCTGCCTGTTGCAACTTCCTTTTTTATCAAATCAAAGGATTTTCCCAAAACAGCTCAGTGTTGGTAGACAAACACAATGTTCGTCTTGTTCTTTCTAGTTTTCTTTTCTTTGTAAAATATTTCTCAATTGTCCTCTCTCTAGGCAGAATGTCTTGCTGCGAGAAGAAATTCAACTTCAAGCCCTCAACAAAGTATGTTCCTGTGACAGTTGCATATGCTCTGCTGATTTGTACGACAACTCTCTTCTTCGTGTTTCCGTAAGTATCTTCTTTGCTGCTTTACTGGCAGCATTACCAGGGTAACCGAACTCAATACACTGTAGACCCTCAACATAATGAAATCACACTTTGTTTACATGTGCACATTCCTGTGGCAATGAGGTGGGACACAATCCATTGTGCCCACATACATGTACTTTTAGGAAAGCTCACATGAGAAGAAAGTATGACATTATTCTGTTTTATGTCTGTTATGTACATGAATGCATGTATGGGTGGGCACTAGTTCAAACATACATGTTCCAGTAAATGTGGACGCTACAGTGATTCAACATTTGGTCATGATCTAGTTATAGTATGGTAGAGTCCAACATGTACGTTCACAACAGGGTTTGAAATACGCACAGGACTGTTTGACCGAGACCAGTGATTTTATCAGTCTTGCAGCATCAGTGCTGATACAAGCCCAGGTTTTTGAAGCTAGTTGACATAAATTTGTGCTCTTTTCTCTTCCAAGCTTTTGTGTTCATGCCAGTACCTATCCTGCTTAATTTTCTTTGTGACAAAGATCGTGTACAAGTAACTTTCTAGACAGTACATGTTCAAGAAAGTGGTTCATAATTTCTTTTTTGTTACTGTTTGGATGTTGTATTGTGCATGTTACTTTGTGCAAAGTAAATTTTTTGAAGTCCTGGCTTTGTTTCCATTTTTTTCCTTTCTTAAAAAAACAAAATTCTAAAGCCCTATTTAAAGGAGATTTTGTGCTCATTGCCCACCAAAATCATCAGAGTTCACCCCAATCAGACCCCAAACTGCCAGATACATGTACCTCCCCCTGGGGGTTCAGATCAGGATATTTGAAAGGGGTACTTACACATTAACCTACACTGTACGTTTGGAAAAAAACGAGATTTTTCTTTTCAAGTCCATGACCCTCTCGCTGCTGGAAGTCACCAACTTGTTTTGTCGTGATTCCAACTGTGTAGGTGTATGCTACTATCAGTGATGTCTCGATGTGCGCTTATGCATGATTTTCACACAGCATGTTTATCTAGACTAATCCAGTACATGTCTAGCATGGGCAGGCCACTTCTCAGCAGGCCCCTTGGGTTTTATGTTGGTGTCTGCAATAACTTTGGAAATGAAATTTCGGAAGTTCTAAATGGAAAGAACAAAAACTAAAAGTAGTGGTTGTTACAGCCACAGATCTGTTTCGGATTTTAAGTTGTTTAATGGGAAAAAATAAAATATCCAAAATCAATTTACACAAAATGAGGTCATCATGACGTCTTTAATTTGGAATAAATCTTGCATCAGGGTCTTTGTTGGCTGTAACTTTGATAACGATCAAACATCGCGAAGTTATCGAAATGGTCGCTTGAAAACATGAAGTCAATGGGCTGAAATAGATATTAAAAAATCTGTAATAAAATGGATGATGGTGTCATCATGACATCATTTATTTGAAATAATTCTTGTATCAGGGCAGTGTTGGAGGTCTTGAGACCTGGTCTCGGTCTTGAGACCTTTTTTTGAGGTCTCGGTCTCAGTCTCGGTCTCGAAGTTCTGGTCTCGGTCTTGAAAGAGCTGGTCTCGGTCTTGGTCTCGGTCTCGGTCTCGAATGCCTTGGTCTCGGTCTCGGACATAAAGTTCTCGACTAAAACACTGTATCAGGGTCTTTGTTAACTATGACATTGATAATGATCAAACATCGCAAAGTTATGATAATGGTGGCTTGAAAATGTATACAAACACAATGAGCTAAAAACACATGCAGAAAAACTGTTCCTTGAGTGTATATCACATGATTTTACTTGATATTTGACTCTTGGGTATATTTGTAATGGAACGAAAAGAAAAATTTAGGCTGATTTCTTGTTCGTTCTCATGGTAATCTTGAGCCGAAGTTCAGGTTAAGTAGAAAAACGTGTATAAAACCTATGAAGAAAAACTGCAGCTTTAATCTCGTGTCATGTGACCCCCGATGGTGTCATTTGACGACTTTGTTCTGGGACCCTACATGTATGTCCGTGGTGAACTATGCGGGTACATACTGTACATGGAATAAGTCAGATTGATCAGGATGCCAAAGACTGACAGCTGAAACATGTGTTCAAAACCTATGGGGCCAAATTAAATATCAACAAATTAATAAAAATCAGGTGACAACATCATCATGACGTCACAAATTCAACAAAATTCTTTTATCAGGGTCTTTGTTGGCTGTAGTTATGATGATGATCAAAAGTTACCAAAATGGTGGCTTGAAAATATGTACAAAGTCAATGGGCTGAAATAAATGTTGAAAATTAATAAAAAATCAGATCATGACTTTATCATGACATCATCCATTTGGAATAATTGTATCAGGGTCTTTCTCGCGAAGTTACGATAATGGTGGCTTGAAGACATGTACAAAGTCAATGGGCTAAAAACATGCCGAAACACTGCTCCTTTCACTTGATGTCGCGTGATTTGTGTTTAAACTGAAAGATTTTTATGAAATATTACTTGATATTTCAACTCGGGTGTATATTTGTAATCAAACGAAAGGGAAAATTTAGTCTGACTTCTCGTACGTTCTGGTAGTGCACGGTTTCGGGCACAAAAGCTTTATACACAAAACAAACCTACAAGGTGGTAGGTCTGGCTGAAATACTCAGGTGTCAATAGATGTGTCTGTCAGATTAGAGTAGCCACCAGACAGTCATTTGTGTGGGTATAAATGTCCAGTAAATGAAATTCGACTTTTGACTTGTTTGACTTTTCAAAAAAATTTGAAAACAGAAAAAAAATGAAAATTAACTGGCCCAGCAGAATCAATATGGATAAATGGGCCGGGCGCTAAGTGATTAAGCCTGATAATAGTGTGCAGTAGAAAAATGTACAAACCCTATGGCGAAATATGAAAAATTCAAAATTCAAAAATAAATCATGTTATGACGTCATCATGATAAATATATTCCAGGATCATCCTTGGATGATTGTGTGAAGGTCTGGCAAGTTTGAGGTCGATTACATGTATGAAACTATCAAAGTCCTGTGGGACAAAAAACGTGTACAAACTCTATGGGGAAAAGTCTGAAAAAGGAAAAAAAAACCGAGAAATGTGTTTGTGCACAAACACAGCTGCTTCGGCCCGGGTTTTATTGATCTAAAACCTGAAAACCAGTGACGAAATTCTTGACCAAGTACTTAAAATACATGTATTTAACATTGCACAAGTGCACATGAACAATACAATACAGTGGAATATGGAAACTCCATGTCATCTTGATAAATGGAAAATTGTTTGCAAAGTTTCAACCCAATGGGACATGGACTTCGCAAGGTACATGTATATAGCTTTAAAGAATGCCCTTTTAATGTCATGTGACTTGTCAGTCGATGACTTCATACTCAAATCAGGGCAATGTAGGTCTCAAAGCCTTCCCTTTTAAGCTATACGCGAAATGTTACGCCAATCGGACTTGTAATTTGTGAGATAAAGTGCTTTAAAAAGTGTCCCTTCAGGTCACATGACTTATCATGGGATGACGTCATCAGGTCAATTTAGGTCTGAAACCCTTCCCCTTCGAGCTACACACAACGTTTCAACCAAATTGCACATGTACTTCACGAGATATAGTGCTTTAAAGAGTGCCCCTTTAAGGGCACGTGACTTGTCAAATGATGACATCATCATCACATCAGGTCAATTTAGGTCTCAAACCCTTCCCTCTCAAGTTATATACAAAATTTCAAGCCAATCGGACATGTCATTCGCGAGATATAATGCTTTAAAGAGTGCCGCTTTCAGGTCTTTGACTTATCACGTGAGGATGTATAATCGCTTCAGTTCAAGTTAGGTCTCAAACCCTTCCTTCTCAAGCTAAATACAAAATTTCAAGAAAATTGAACATGTAATTCACGAGATATAGTGCTTTAAACAGTGCCCATTTAAGGTCACATGATTTATCATGTGATGACATCATTATCACATCAGTTCAATTTATGTCTGAAACCCTTCCCTGTCAAGCTACAGTTACGGCCAAAGTAAAGGTTTACACGATACACGATATTGCATGCGTGCGTCTATAGGGAGTGGAAGACACGCTCTTTATAACGTGTGTGCAAGAACGCAATACACGCAGTTGCGGTTAGCCCGGATAGACCTCTAAGCCCCAACCAACTCGAGCCAATTAAAGTCAACCACAATCCCCGCGTGCGTCGCCGAACACGATACACGAATAAGCAGTCGGCAAACTGGTGTCAAATTCACTTATTTATCAGCTTATATTCAGCGCAATACACGAAAGAACATGCAATGCCTCACAGACAATATGTCAGTGTCTTGTGTGAGAACAAAACTGTCCGTGATCGAAACAAAGATTCAACAACTCCCCACGGAAAGGATCGTCAGTAGAAGCCCAGCAGCTGGATGAACCCCCACACATTTATTTCAATCATTTGACAGGTAAAATTTAACAAACCTATTCCCGTTGAAGTAGTCACTTCACGAAAACAGAAGCTGACAGAATGTTTCCGTAAAATATAAATTTGTACGAGAAAAAGAATATACCCAATCCCAAAATATGATTTTGCAAACATTTTTAAATAGTTATTTTTCCTAGCTGCATGATCACGCAAACGGATTTTTGGCAGAAAGCAAAGCCGTAATTTCTTTGAATTTATTGAAACCATTTCATGCTCGGCGGATTTAATGCAACACGTGGAGTTGGTTGTCGTCACTGAAATCGTGAAATGATTTTTTTTTCATTGAACAGGTAACCAACCACCCGATCGACCCTGTGGCTTCGATTGCCGAAAAATACTTTCTTTATGCAACTGACCCTGTCTTCATTTTCCTTAAAAAAAAATGATAACCTTCAAAATTGTGTGAACAAGGATGTAATTTCTCACCAAAATTGTTTCTTACCCAACTTACCTAACCGGACAATAAACAACCAAGCGGTCGGTAAACTGGCGTCAAATTCACTTATTTATCAGCCCATATTCAGTGCGATCCACGAAAACACACACAGCCTAAAAGGAAGTGT